TATATATATATATATATATATATATATATATATATATATTGTATATATATTTTATAGTAATTTTTGCCCATGCGATTGGAGGCTTGCATGAACAGCTCCCGAACCTCTCTGTACAGATAGGCATATCATTAACGTCTCGTATATTATTAATGATATTCTACAGTAGATCAACACTCTCTAAACACTGAGTATTTTACAGTCGCTTAATCGATTGGTGGACATATTAATCAATTTACCAATCGATCATTCAGTCAATCAATCGATCAATCAATCAATTAAACGATCGATCGATCGACCAATCAATCAACCAATCAATCTAACCATGAACAAACAAACAAACACATAAATAAACATATAATTCAATCATTTAATCGATAAATCGATAAATCGATCGACGAATAATCGATGCAGAAACTGGACATTCGGCGCACGGACAAGCGCCGGAGTGCCGAGTATTATCGGGAGCTGGCCGAGCAGACGCAGGAACGAGGCGAGAGAGAGCAGCGCGAGAGAGCCGCCGACATACAGCAACAGCAAGCCGTACGTGATGTCTTCGCCATTTCCTCCCATCACCACCACGTATCAGACAGTATAGCTAACCCAGCCCTAGCTCACCGGATGCACCCTATCTATGCGTGTGTGTCGGGTGGGGTGGGGGGGGGTCTGTGTGTGTGTGTGTGTGTGTGTGTGTGTGTGTGTGTGTGTGTGTGTGTGTGTGTGTGTGTGTGTGTGTGTGTNGCGAAGTCGTTCGACAGTTTCTGGGGTAAGCCAGGAGCAGGAGCGCCTGTCGCGCAGTCTGGCGGCGGTCATCAGAAACACGGCCTCGACGGTCTGTTGTCGTGCGACCACTCTCCGGTAAGACGATGAGATGTCCATGAGGTGCCTGGTCACCGCAATACTGACCTATAGCATCTATCGTCATCAGAGCCGTAGGCTGAGCAAATTCCTAGTGGGTGGGGGCAGTGGCGGATCCAGGATTTCAGGGAGGGTGAGAAATACGTGGGGGGTCTGGGGGTCCTCCCACAAAAATTTTTGAAAATGTAGATCGCAGGAGATGGTATTTGAGTACATGTACAGCCTTCATTCTGACTACGACAATTCTCTTTTAGTATAAAAAAAAATTTCCCTCCAGAATCTAGGGGGGCAGCTGCCCCCTTGCCCCCTCCCCCGCAGGCTACGGCCCTGGTGATGTATTACGCAGAGAATCAGTCATCTATCACGCCAGAATAGTGCATAAATTATCATCTTAGATTGAATCACTATTCTTTTAGCCTAAGACACTATTATCTTAGATTAAAAGACTATCATCTTACACTAAGACTCTAATCATACTAGTATAAAACACTATCATCTTACACTAAGACTCTAATCATACTAGTATAAAACACTATCATCCTACACTAAGACTCTAATCATACTAGTATAAAACACTATCATCCTACACTAAGACTCTAATCATACTAGTATAAAACACTATCATACTAGTATAAAACACTATCATCTTACACTAAGACTCTAATCATACTAGTATAAAACACTATCATCCTACACTAAGACTCTAATCATACTAGTATAAAACACTATCATCCTACACTAAGACTCTAATCATACTAGTATAAAACACTATCATCCTACACTAAGACTCTAATCATACTAGTATAAAACACTGTAATCCTAAATTAAGACATTATCATCAAAGGCCAAGAGACTATCATATTATATATTAAAACATTATCATTCTAGATTAGGACACTATGATTTTAAACCAAGGCACTATCATTATAGACCAAGACACTATTACCTTGGACTAAAACAATATCATCTCAGACTAAAACAATATCATCTCAGACTAAAACAATATCATCTCAGACTAAAAACACTATTATTTTAGACTAAAACACTATTATTTTAGACCAAGACATTATCATCGTATATTAAGAAACTATCACCTCAGACTAAAACACTATCATCTAAGACAAATACACTATCATCTTTAGATTAAAAACCTATATCATCTCATAGACCAAGATACTGGCATATTACTCTAATACGCTATTATATTCTATCAGGACGCGTACACTACCATCTAAGACAAAGACACTAGCATCTTTAGATTAAGAAACTATCATCTTACTTACACTAATGTATTACTTGTGTATATACTAACATCTTAGACCAAGATGACTAAGCCGTCTCTTTCCTTCTCCGTCACGCAGGTGAAATCTCCACTAAAGCCATCCCCCAAAAGAATGTCACGCAGCAAGCACTCGAACAACTACGAGGGTGACTCTGCTGACGTCATACCACAGGTTGTTCCAATAATTACACGATTTAATTAGATTAATTAATAGAATATTAACGATAATACGGCGCTACGCGAACACACTATAATATCAGGAGTGGATAATGTTATAGATATATATAATTATAGATCCTGATAATTTCTCCTAATAATATCTTCTGATATATATACATCTTGATATTATCAGTAGTGAATAATATAGATCTATAATTATTCACTCCTGATAATATATATGCCATAGATATTCTGTGATTATTGCGATCTTAACGTTGTTGTTCGCGTCTGCTTTTTCAGTACACGCCCATGCCTCCCTGGAGAACGGCGTAAACATCCGCTACAGGTCCGGGATCGTCAAAGTACTTCCGGACGCCATCTACCGGCAGAGGTCGCTTCAGTATGGGAGCTATTTGGATCACACTCGCCTGGCGTGCGTGCGTGTGCGTGTGCATGTGCGTGCGTGTGCGTGCGTGCGTGTTCTTCCTTGCGCGCATTCTTTCGGCCGCATTACCATCGACTACGAGTCTGTGGTGCCACCTATTGAAAAAACTCGAGCGGTAATGGAATAGGGAGGCGAAAAAAGAATTGAATACAATCTATTACTCCGAAATATGATCGCGGAAATGCGGATCGGTCCGTATATATTGTTAGTGTGTAATACTCGCTTGCAGTAAATCGTATATATATTATATATATATATGTATACGTATAATTATATGTGTGTATGTGTGTGTGTGTGTGTGTGTGTGTGCGTGTGCGTGTGCGTGTGCGTGTGCGTGTGCGTGTGTGCGTGTGTGTGCATGTGCGTGTGCGCTTGTGTGTGTGTGTGTGTGTGTGTGTGTGTGTGTGTGTGTGTGTGTGTGTGTGTGTGTGTGTGTGTGTGT